TAGTTTTGAATTTTTTAAGATTGTGAATTAAGCATTCTTTGAAAACTGATGTCTTGCAAAACTGTTCTTTGCGTGGGATTCGGCTCATTTCTCTTCATAAGTGGGATTCCAAACTGTCGCAGTTGAACTGATTGCCTCCTTTTTGACATGAGGGCGAAAACTTCTATCGTCTACTCAGAGTGGAAATTTTTGAAATTTATTCGGCTGTATCAGGGAAGAACACGGCAGCTCGTTTAACGTGTTTCTCTAATCCTTTAAATCTGGACACCAACGCGCTTTTATTTTGTTTTGGTTCGAGTTGCGATTTTGTTGTGATTGCTACAGGTCGTCTCTGGTCAGAAGCAATTTTCATGGAGGAACGTCATGGCCGACGTACAAAATCAGTTGATGCTTTGAAGAAGTGCGAACATAATGCAGATGTTTTGCTTGCTGTCGCTAAACTGTTTTGGACAGAACGAAAAATCAAAAAAGCTCGTGAATGGTTCCAGCGAACAGTCAAAATTGATCCCGATTTTGGAGATGCTTGGGCATATTTCTACAAATTCGAATTATTACATGGCTCACTGGTAAGCTTACTCAAATTTGTTTTCCATCCATTTCCAGGCAGAAATTTTTCATTTTATTATTAATCCAGCGCCTTTTTTTCTTTGTACGTGAAAACCCACGGTAATTGAAACTGAAAATTACTTGGGAAGAAGGTGGGAAAAACTGAATTGCTAGCCGCGTTTCAGGAGGAGCAGACATTGGTGAAAAATCGTTGTTTGCAAGCGGAACCTCGCCACGGCGAACTGTGGCAGCGAGTATCAAAAGATGTGGAGAACTGGAGAAAACGAACAGACGAAATCCTGGCTGAACTAGCGAATCAGCTTGAAATCCCTCGATAGTGCATCGGCCATTCTAATGTTCTGTTGATGCCAGTTTGTGAATCTTAGTTTTCCTAAAAACATCGCGACGTATAATCATCTCCTCGGTCAGATTGCTGTTTTTGAAACTTATGTTGGATGAGATACGTATTTTGGTTTGATGCATTTCTAGCAGCCAATAAAATTGAACCAAAACTGGAAAGTACTTTTGCAAGGGGTGGGGATATCACTGCTTCTCAGAAATTTTGGCAGTTTATAAAGTTGCGATAAGCTGCGGCATTCGAAAAGAGGGGGAAAACATTTTAAATAAAGTTCTTTGGTGAAATATGAAATTTCTGAAATGTTTTCGATTTGTTGTATGTTTACTGTGGCTTCATTTACATGTATAATAAAAGCTCTTTGTCAGGTTTTTGTCTCTATTCCATGATTTATCATGAGCACGCAATATTACGGCGATAGCAACCATCATTTTTTCACCCACCAGGCAAATATTCATTTCATTGGCATAAAATTGAATTTCATTTTTCAACATTTGGGAGTTTTGTTTTACAGGTTTTTTTTGAAGTATTGTACACTCTGTTTCGCAAAACTACTGTGTTTCCCAATTTTTATGCGTTTTGTGCTGTGTAACAGCATTACAAAACGGGGTTGTCTGTGTGTGTATGTGTGTGTGTACGTGTGTGCGCGTGTGTGTGTGTGTGTGTGTGTGTGTGTCCAACATTTTGTCGCGCATTTTCAACTCGGGAACTACAGAAGCTAGGTGGCTGAAATTTTGGTATAGTGTTCCCCGCCAGCGGGCGACGTGGCAAATTTAAATTCAGCCTTCTCGTATCTGCGGGTAACGAGTACGGCCCCGTGAAAATTTTTTACGGGTAAATTAATATATCGGGAACCACGGAGTCTGTTAAGCTGAAATTTTGGGGTAATGACCTCCTGCCCACGCTTAACCTTGCCTACCTACAGGCTATTGAAAGTTTTTACGGGTAAATTATTATTTGGGGAACCACGGGGTCTAGGAAGCTGCTTAGGGTAATGTCCCCCTGCCCACGCTCGACCTCGCCTATGCAAGTTCAGCGTTCCCGCGCTCTTGAGTATCACTTACGGCCTCGTGAAAATTTTGGCGGGTAAACTATTAACGCGGGAATCACGGAAAGATATTCACCCT